AGAAAAAAACACAAGAAGTTGGAGAAAAAAGTAATGTTTGAAAAAATGCTTATCGACATGTTGTAGTTTAAACTCACGATTAAGTGCGTAATTTGGGGAACCTGTGCCTTACCTGAGCTGTGGACAAGCGTTCGAATTCTACACCTCTCCCTCCCTCAAGCCCCTGTTTTGCTCCCTCTCTAACGCCCCTCTTCAAATCCTGTCTTAAAACCTACCTCCTCAACCGTGCCTATGGTCACCTTCTACCCCTCCCGGCTTGGCGTCGACTGTAAAGTACTATGAGACATGAGGACACGAAGGACAATATATGTACAAGTTTTGTTTTTGCTGTGTTTTTTTTAGCCTGGCGGTTGGTATCACTGAGTCAGATGATTGTGGGGTCAATTTCTACATTAGCATTTTGAGCTCATAATCCAGGCTGAAACTCTACCGCAGTTCTGGGGCAGTGCTGTATTGTCAGAGATGGATTCCTCCAGATGAGATTAAAATGAAGTCTCATCTTCCCGCTCAGGTGGACATTATAGAACCCATTCCACTATAATAATAATAATAATAATAATAATAATCCTTGCATTTGATATAGCGCTTTTCATGTCGGGAGGCCGTCCCAAAGCGCTTCACAGAACACACTGTAAAGTGAATTGACTGTATATTTGTGGGCGAACGCGGCAGCCAATTGCGCACAGCAATGTCCCACAAACAGTCGTAGATTGAAAATGACCAATTTTATTATTGTTTTTGGTTTTGGAGGGATTATTATTAGGCATGTGGAGTAAGGAAACTTGCCCAAGGTTTCACCCTGCCTGGAATTGAACTCAGGTCTTATGCTTGCAAAGCGATGGCTTTAACCTCTGAGCTACATGACTATTCAGAAAGTGAAAGGAGTTTCTCCCAGTGACCAAAAATCCGCCAGTTAAAATGGTCATTCACCTTTTGACTGTTTGTGGGACTTGGCTGCCGAGTTTGCCAATAAAATACACAATCACTAAAGTTAACATTAATCACTTTGAAGTTCTTTGAGATATTTCGACTTTATAAGGAGCTATATCAGATGCAAGCATTATTATTACTATCATTATTATTAGCTGGGATAAGACATGGTATCAAAGTATGCAGACAATGCAAAATATGGAGTGTCACTATCTGTGAAGAGGACTGTAAGGAGTTCAGGAGCACATAGATTAAATTCCATGTTGAAAAGTGTGAGATGATGAATTTTGGCAGGAAGAATAAGTAGATGAAATATGCATTGCTGATAACGTTTAAAGTATAAGGTACAAAACTGGCTGCTGAAAGAGTGAGCCAAATAGGCTCTTTGGTAACAGGAATTCAATTACAATTGTATAGTCTTACTCTACATTATTTACGATGTTGACAGTTGTACTATTGCTAATCTGCTGCCAGTTGTAGCCTTCAAATCAACACCATGTCATTGGAGAAGCAAAAATGGGATCTGACAGACTTGACATGTAGATTATAATTAAAAAAACAATGTAAGTATTTCTGCCTATCATCATTGAATTCCAGGCGGTTTACACATACATCAGTTTAATTAGTTCTTATTACACAAATATACTGTATTTATTTGCGTGCAATTCTTTAATGATCTGTTTTATACAAAGTCAACATTATCACTCTTGTCAGGAAATGAAGCAGACTAATAATTAAGTTGACATTTTCATAATTTTTGTGTAGCAATTATTTCTATTCTTGAAGCTGTCTCATTACATTATGCAAGATCAGTATTGCAATGCACTTAATCACTGTTTCATTAAGTTTCAATCCATGGAGGTGATAATAGTGAAGAAATTCTATTCTCTCTCTTTGGTTTTGAAAGAGGATAGTAAATAGCCCAGAATAATGGCAGCTATTGACTTTGCATGAGAAGGGCAAATTACACCAACAATGGGACTGATATCAACCTCCCTTTGGTAACAGATAACAATTCCTACTGATAACTAAACGAAATGTTTCTAATTTTCATAAATTTTCCAATGAAATATTTGGTAATGAGGTAGTTGATTGAGAGGGGGACTTGATAGAGGTTGATAAGATTATTAAAGGAGTCAATCAAGAAGGCAGAAAATATAAGATAGCTAGTAGTAGATCTAATAAGAAGTTTAGGAGAAACTTTGTCATGCAAAGGGAATGAGAATGTGGAACTCATTAATGGAAGCTGTGATTAAAACTAAAAGTATCAATTTATTCAAGCAGAAACTTGATGCATACGTAAAGGAGAAATAAATAGAATAGAAGGAATAGGAATCGAAGGGGTGGGGCACTCATGTGCAGTATAAACACAAGCATTGACTAGTTGGATTGAATGGTCTGTTTCGATGCCATATCACTTTGTATAACTCTACGTATTGTTTAAATTGAAAGTTGTCAAGCTAGTATATCTACGTAAAAGAAACACAGGTATATCCAGCAATCAATAGCAGGGGCTTTGTGATTACTGGAAGATGGTGGAAAGGTTAATGTCTTCCAAACTGCTCATACTCAGCTGAGGCCTATGATAATCACGGTCATTGTCCCAAAGACAACGTGACCAAGATTTTTTTCATACCCCAAATTGAATAAATGCTTTGAAGCCCCAATGAACCTCAATGGATGATTGGTTGGGTCTTTGCTTAGCTGTGGGCAGACCTCCAATGGTTTAATTGGTGAGGCTCTGTTTAGATTGAGAAAGAAACAAAACGAGAGAAGAATTAGAGACTTGTTTGTTCCCTAACAATTAAGAAAAAGTACCATTAACTGCACAGTTCTGATGAGATCAAGTGGGTTGAAGGCTCTTTTTCATTCTCAATTCTCTTTTGCAATCTTTTGTGAAGAAAGATGTAAACCTGACAGAAAAGGCATTTTCTTCAAAGGAAGATTGATTTTTACCTTTTAAGTCCATTCCATAGATTGTGGAGATATGGTTCATCATTGCAACTTTTCAGTGAATACATAGGAGAATGTTTGATGCATTTCACAGTTCAATCCTTGTGTTAATTAGCACATTATAAAATGCCACAACCTTTTCTGAATACCATTAATAAAGTATACATTTGAAGTCAAGAGTTCAATGTCTAATTTATCTTTTTCCTTGTTACCACTCTCCATATCCTCAGTCTTGGACTGGACAAAAGGGCATAACACTGAAATGCACTGGTAAATATCACCAATTTTATTTTAGAATTAGAAATAGCATTTGGGATAGTTGCAATCATTAAAGTTAGATTATGCTAAAATTATTTGTGTTTTTTAATATATGTTTGGCTTTCTTGTTTAAAATTGAAATCCGCTTAAACAATCTGGTCATGTGAGAGTTTGCAGTTTAATAGAAATAAGCTTTGAACTCGGTGGTGAATTATTCAGCAATATCAGTTTAATCAGTATAGCCAAGGGACTTTGTTCAGAACAATAGAAGGCAAAAAGAATGTGAACAAAAGAAAACTGCTACTAGCTCCATATATTTTTGCACGATTGAAATTAATCTATTTTCAACTGATATGGATCAAGAAATCAAACTCTGATCTAATGTGGAAGTTGATTTTCTAATCCAGTGAATTTTATAATCACAGCTGAATCTTTTTTAATGCTGTCTTTGTAACATATAAAAAGTTTTTTTNGAAGAGAGAGGAAGTAAAAAAGGAAGGTCTTTTAATTACTGAGGAGATGTCAGAGATTAGAAATAGAACTTTTTAAAGGAAGTTGTTGTAATAAAGCATTTCACGTTGAATGGCAGATTGAAATAAAGCACTCAGCAGTTAATTTAGAAAGCAAATCAATGAGCAGTCAGAAGTGACTGCAAACCGTAGTTGGCAAATATGGAGCAATGAGTTTTATGATACTGTGATTATACCATTATTATTATCATGATAGTCAACATGAGGCCAGAAGTATTGCACTCCAATGTTTATTGCAGTGAAAACTTCCTTCCTTCTATATTGTTTTGTGTGTTTTAATTCAATTTTTCTGTACAAAGAACTTAATAATCAAAAAGTATTTTATTAGATTGCGGAGAACTATGAGAACCAACAAATATTGTTTTTTTTATTGAATCCAGGCAGGGCAGCCTATATACATCTACAGCTGTGAATGTTGGAGACTTTAGGAGCGAAAGTTATGGTCAGCAAAAATGCAACAGATAATATACATATTTACAATTGGAGCTGTGTTTAGTTTGAATGAATGTTATTCCAAACAAAACCCAAACCAAATCTGGGGAGCAAAATTCCATCTTTTCAGAATGTGCCAAATTTGATTAATTCTTAAATTTAATCTTAATTTTGGAGTCTTGCATCAGGTTATAGTCCAGGTTGACACTCCAAGCAGTGCTGGGAGAGTGAAAAGGCGCTATATCAAATGCAAGGATTATTATTACCTCCCCCCTTGCCTTCTTCAAGATCCTTCTCAAGACCTTTCTCTTTGATCATACCTTCGGACATCCTTCCACCCCTACTTCCCCAACTTCCACCCCTCTTGATTCCAACCCCCAGCTCGGGTGCAAACCCTCAACTGTCCAGTGAAAGGTGATGCATAGATGCAATTTTGTTGTTGTTATTGTTGTTGTTGTTGATATGTGGGTCTCATCCCAGGTGGGATTTCAATCCCCCCCCCACTCCTTCCCAGAAGCTGACGTATGCTATTTCTCCAATGGTGCTGTCACATCATCCTTGCTCTGCTTGGGACGTCCTCCTGACGTGAAAGGCGCTTTATAAATGGAATCTTGTTGTTGTTGTTGCTTCGATGTTGCCTTGAATGCAGGCGAGCGAGGTTTCCTGTTGCAGCACCTGGTGATGGTGTGTGACTGTGACTGACTGACAGACTGACTGACCCTGGCCAGGGTTAGTGAGTGGGATCAGCTGTGTTGTTCTGGGTGTTGCTATGGCGGCGCTCAGGCTGTTTGCTGTTACCATGGAGACAGACGCCAGGCCGGTGCTCGCTCCCCTGTCCTGGTTACTGCAACTTTCATACAAACACAAACACCCTCTGCAGCCCCGGCCTCCGTCCACATGGCTGGACAGCAGGTGATCAAGGCTCGCCCTCGAGGTAAGTCCAACACACACTCTATACACACAGTTATTCCTGCATCTACTGCAAGGTGAGGTTCAGCGCCAGCCTCCCACTACTGTACCACAGCAATAACAACTTGTTATGTGTATTGTAGATAGAGCATATTGTACTGCATTATATAATTTTATGCTGTACAATATGATACAAATTTACATTTATGCAGCACCGTTCACCTCGGTAGGATGTGCCAAGGTGGGAGCCGAGGGCGGTGAGCAGGGCAAAGATGACCGGAGGTGCGGTCAAAGTGGACGGTCTTGAGACCGTCCTTGAAAGAGGTAGGGAGGGGGTGAGTCGGAGTTCGTACACAAACAATCACAGTGTGGTTGGGGTGGATGGTGGTGGGGGGGAGGGAGGGAGGGAGGGAAGGAAGGAGGTTGGGTTTATTTTTGAACCATGGATCAAAGGTGTGGGTCAGTTTTTTGTTCTCGTCTCAGTCACACTATTTAAATATGGTGAGTGATGAGTAACACACACCCTTAGGTCTCTTTCAACTTCCCCCTAGTAACATCTATCCCCTCCATGGAGTAAATAGCTTGACATACTTATTAAATTAAAACTCAATGGTAAAATGGGGTGATTGTGGCTTTTGGTTATTGGTATAAATCATATCTGAAGTACCTGAGTGTCTTTCAATGTATGTTCTTTACTGAAGACTCTTTATCTAATTATTGTGAATAAAGGATATTATAAATGATTTGGAATTTGAGAATTATAAATGCTAGGACCTTGGGAACCCAATCATTTATTGTGGATTTTTGATAACAAGCCTGCATGTCGATTTACCAAAAATGATCATGTTTTTAATGTTGTTACAACAAAATCTAATTTTCATCCATCTCTCCTAGAAATACAGTATTTTCTAGGGATTGATTACAATAAAATGGAGGAATTGTGTAACATCAATGGCCTACAGAGCAGGTATGACTCAACATAAGCCTCTATTATAAATAACAAATAACTGTTGCACGTTGTGCTGTTATCCCCTCCCCCATTGTAGAGTCTAGTTTAATTGTTGTTTGTTGTTATTATGTATTACTAATAACAATATGTTATTCTTATGGTTAGTATCCTTGGCATGGATCTACTTGTTGATTTTGTACTTGTTTTTGAAAATAAACTTTAAAATCACAGCAATTCCATTCTCCCTTACAGACTGCTCACTGCCACACACACGAGTGTGCGAGCGATCAGGTTCCACATTTAATGTTGCTGTTCTAGGCCAACAGTGGGTTCAACATCGAAAACAGCTTACAAATATAGCACTCTTTATGTAAGATGTCTCGGAACCCTTAATAGAGACAGAAAAGAGAAGACAAGGGAGAGGAGAGAAGGCAGGTGTGGTTTCATATGTAACCCCGTGTTTGTGGGTGATATCACAAAGAGGTAGCATGTTGAAGTGGGGAGGGGGACTGAATATAGAGCCCTGAGGTATTCCAAAGATAATCAAAAAGGACGGGAGGAGAAATCTTTGGAGGAGACAAAGTGGAGGTGATGGGTCAAACACAATTGTTATCAGGAGAGTATGGTTCGGCAGAGGTGCATGAGAAAGGAGAGGTGCTAGGAGTATTAAAGAATTTATAGGTGAGGACATTGAAATCAATCCATTGAAGAGGATGGAGTGGTATTAAAAGCAGCTGAGAGGCCGAGGAGGACGAGCAATTCAAGTGGGTTATATTTTTATATTTTTCTCTCTTCTGGAGCAGCTTCCATGCGAGTCTGATGCCCTGGCAAAGAACCAATGAAGTACAATGAATTTAAGACAAATTAGTTTGAGAGACAAGTAGTGCTGGGACCTGAACTCATTCATTTAGGCTTGGAGTAAAGTGCTAATAGGTTGAGCTGCCAGGACATCGCATCTTGAAAAATTCTAGACTGTGTTACTGCTCAGTGATAGTTATGCAGTGAGTTGCTTCAAGGACCATATTGGTCTATGTTTCCTACATTTGGAAGTAAACTGATATACACAGACCATTATGAGGCAGTGAAGATGGACCACTTAAAAATTGTCATCAAAATAGGCACCAGGAAAGTGACCTCTAATACTTGGCAACTTTAACAAGCCATGCTTCAATTACTTTGGAATGCTCTTCACACTAAGTATACTTCTGCATGATGCTGCTATCCAGTTTTTGAGGAGAGGAGATGAATTTAATTGGTGTCATGTTAACCCTAGAGTTCATTTCTAGCACTCCACATGTTGTAGTTACTCAGATTGCCTTGTCATGGTTGAGCTGGAGTGAATTTGATTCTTACTATGGCTCAGTACAAACTTGGCAGTTGAAATCTTGCTGAGTTGCAAAATCTCATCTCATAGGTGCTTGAAACATCAAGTCTTTAAAGGTTGGTTTCATATTGGTTCAAATTTGGAGCAGCAATCTATAATCACTGTAGCTCAGTAACCCCAGGCTAACAGATATCATTAATTTTTTTAAACACCATTTCAGAGCTAGTGAGTACTGCCAGAGCTCTCTTCTCCACTGCTATCCAAAATGCTTCACACAATCAGGTATGCAAAGCATGCCTTACCCGAAGAATGAAATGTGACCCTCTTTGAAAGGTGACCCATGAATACAAAAACTTCATGGAAATTAAACTGGCAGAGGAACATAGCATCAGGAAATACAAGAGAAGCTGTAGGAAATAAAGTTGGATCTGAGTCACGCTAGAAAATGTCCAATGTCTGTTGAATTCAGAAGTAAAGCATGTCTTTAGCCAACTGTCTGTGCCATGGAAAACTGCATAAAAGTAACACCCAATTCAAGTTAATGTGCTTCTGCCATGCAGGGTTCATTGGTTACAAAGGCAGTCAGACTGGCAATCAATCTACGTAGTCTTTCCCATGCAATCCGTCCAACATTGCGTCTCAGACATTGTCCTTCAGAAATACTTGGAATTTTAAATCAAAGCAACATAGCACAATCCAGCTAAGGTAAAGTTTTAGACGTAGCCCTACTTGAGCTAGCTCCCATTGAAGTGACTGCTATGACTCACAATGCATGAGGTTTGGGGAGTCATCAACTTGATCATTTATGAATGTCCAGATAATACTCCCTTATGAAATTGATGAAGTAAGGATGATTATTATTTGTACAGTGCCCTTCATGTTGGATAACATCTCTGGCTCCCTTACCTTGACCGAGATGGGGTAGAGAGGCGGTGACCAGGTGGGACCCGCTTATCAGTATCCAAACAAGACTGACAGTTTTGCATAAACATGGAAATCACCCCATGTCTGGTTTGGAATTCGCCCACTCTTCCTGGAGTGAAGCACCCACTGCTTGTATAATCCCAGAAAGTATCAGGCACAGGATGGCAAGAACCCAGACTTGAAACCGAAGAATGTGCGTTGGATTATTGCTGGAGTTTAACCAGATAACACTGCATAGTTTACCATTGTTTAGCAAGCTGTCTGGCAAGCTTCCTGCTGCTTGTCAAACTAGGATCACTCTACCCACAAGGGATTTAGCTTGCAGGATTAACAGGCCAGGTGTGCTGTTGACACCCCCCAAGGGGAGTTGGTCACTCACTCTGTGGCTGTTTTTCGTGACGTTGTTGTGTGCAAATTGCCTGCCGTGTTCATCCACAAAAGGCACACAGTCATGCTGCCCTACAGTATATTTTATGAAACGCCTTGACATGTACTCAAGGATGTATTATTACAATAAAATAAAATCTGACATTTTATTTACTGTAACTGCAATACAAAAAATGCAACAGACTAATTATAAGAAATTAGTAAATTCATTGTATTCTTAAATTTGTTATGACTGAAATCATGATCAAGGTATCAATAATTTTTTTTTAAAAATTGTAATTGGAAATTTTAAGGTAGGAGCTGAAAGGTACTGGGACAAGCAACCACAATCTGCATGACTGGTAAGGAAATGCAAGCAGTCAAGTAAGTTTAGAGATAAGGGAAAGGAACACATTCCCCAAAGTGAATAAGAATACTCCAGCTAATGGATGAGAAATTTGAAGTGATCCATTCTTTCAGCACTAATGGAAATATAGAACTATTCTGATATGGTAATTCCATGAAATAAAATGGGCTCTTTTTGAAATGGCAAATCAAGGAACTAATCAGCAAATAGAAGAATTGAACACTGGATAGTAGATCTTAAGACAGAAAGAATACTCAGGTAATGCCTATGGCATACATGATTTTATTTTCATTTTAGATTGATCGTAGAATGAAAGACAATAGAAGAGTGATTGTTTCTAATAGAAGTCAAACATTCAGTTGGGTTAGCAGTTTGTTGAGGTTTTTGCCCTTCTTGTTGTTTAGAAATAATCTCCAAAGTACAGCTATTGCTCACCAAATATTCCTGAAGCTGTATCCAAAAATATTCATCCAACCAAAAATTGTGCTGCCCAAGATTCCTGAAATGGAGAAGAAAAGGTGAGGAACGTTTTTTAATTTACATTCCACAAATTCCAGTTTGGACTTTATTTTTTCTATGGCACAGATGTACATTATATCTAGGGCTTCTGATTTTCGGATTTAACAGACCCCCCCCAATAAAAAAAAACAATATATAAAAGAGAAATCGATGTTTATCCAATGTGTATTGCAAAATCCTGTAAATGGTTACCTATCATTGCCCACACAGGTGTCTCTTGTGGAACGTTTGTGAGAGGAGGAAGGCACTGCCCATGTGTGAGCATGCCTCTCTCCCTCCCGCGTACATGTACACAGGGGTGTCTGGAACCAAGAAACACCTGCCACATGTAGGGGAGAGAGGCGCTTTCAATGACAACAACAACTTGCATTTGTATAGCGCCCCTCACTCATGGTAGTGTCCCAGAGCGCTGTGCATGCCCCCAAGCATGCACAGTGCCTCCCTCTTCTCACAAGCATGTCTGAATCTTCTATTAAAAGTAGTAGAAACCCTTCAATGTTTTAGAACTCCTAAAAATGCTAAAAATAAACTGGAAATAAGCCTTAAAAGTGAATATTTTAAATCCTGAACAACAGAAGCCCTAATTGTATCAACTGCAGCTCACCTAATTCAGATGGGGATCATTAGAGCTCAGGTTCTCAAATACTGTTTGGAACTGCTGGGTTTTTGGGCATGATGTCTTTCTGTTAGCTTAGCCTGATAGCTCTTTACATATGACCAGAAACATTGAAATGTGGTGATTGAAACATCCAGATAGAATGCACTTTTAAGGAGATTCAGATCTGATATGTTTCCACACAGTTTCCACTCATTGTTTGGTGGAGTAAAGCAAAAGGAAACAATCAGGTCTAAAATATAACATATGCAATGTAGAAGCCACTCCATTAATTAAGACTTTTTGTTTGCACCTAACTTCTGCATTTAGCTCACAAAATACCCTGAATATATTGTAATCCCAAATACCGGCAGAGGCTGTTTTATGCCTGATGTTTTGCTTTCTGACTCTCCCATCAGATGTTTTGGACTTTTTCTCGGTCAAGAAATAGCAATAAACCAAAATGCTGGTCATGATGGTAAAAAAATCACAATATTGGTTGATGTTTTATTCCTGCTTCATATTTTGCAACTTTGTGGCAACATGTTTACTTGCTTCTCACAAAATTAATCAATAAACATTACAAAGGACGAACTGAAAACTGTGGATGGATTCCTAGCACATATTGCTGGGTATTCCGTTTTATCATATTTCCGTTACAACAACAACAACAACAAGAAGATTCCATTTATTGAGCGCCTTTCACGTCGGGAGGACGTCCCAAGGCGCTGAACTAATTTGTTTAGTTATTCTCCTCTGGCATTGGAGGAGAGTAGTTTATTTTTCCAAGTCAAGTCTGCCATCTATTTGTCCATTCATCCATTTGGAGAAATTGATGTTGTCAAATGGATAAATGGACCATTTGAAAAGGTGAGGAGGCGCTGATGGAAGCCAATCAGGAGAGCCTCGGTCTTGTTGACGTT